ATGTCTTAAGTCTTCTGGGTGTCCCATCACTAATCAGGGGTATCCCAGTAATTTCCTGTACTTTGTACTTCACTTATATATATAAATAAAGGCATGGTCGACTGCAAGTACAGTTCGACATTTCAGCATCTCTTCTTCTTCTCCTCTTCTCCGCTACTTCGACTACAGTGGTTCAGCTTTCACCAACAATCTTTCATATAAGGGCATTAAGGAAGAAATACAATGACAAATGTGCCCCTGATTAGTAAGCAGGAAGAAATGTAAAGAATACAAAATAATCCCAGGCCCATTTATCCCAATAAGAAAGAAACAAAGATAACTAACATAAACATAAACATAAATGGGGCCAAAACCATAATGCTAGGCTACACGACACATTATACCATGTAATAGTTCTGGTAGCTTCCTCCACGTTCAAAAAAACGAGCTATAGCAAATGCAATATCTTCAACAGGTCTATGAGGCACCCTTCCCCCCCAAGATGCAAACCTTCAAAAAGGAAAAAGAATAAACAAACCAACAAAGGTTAAGGTTGGGCATATAAACTTCTATATACATTTTCCATAGAAATCAAACAATTAATTTATCAATCAAGCTCAAAATGAATGATGTGCTGGAGAGAGAGAGAGAGAGAGAGAGGTTACTAGCAGTCATTTATCAGAAACCACACAACAGAAAGGAGAAAATTGTATTTATCAACTAGAATGAATCAGTTAAGCTAAAATAACCAGAAAGTGTTGATTCTCAGCAACAATGTATATCAGAGATGACAGGAAACATTTGTTATTGTATTGGACATCAAAACAATTTTTTTCTCTAAAACGTATTTATGCATGCATGCTCAAATGCAATAAAAGAAAAAATTCACTTCTTTTTGTAAGTGAAACCTTTGGTGAGACATTCACCAATCCTGCTTTTGACAAGATTAGCATGCTCAAAGTTATGCGGTGATCAAAGAGGAGTAAATGATTTTTCTGGAAAGTCAAGGAAACCAAAGAGATTTTGAAATCCAGCAAGGTTGAAGGATATCTACATGGTATTCAAGATTCTTTAGACTATTTCATCAATCTAGAGAAGGAAATTTTGAGTTGGACAATTTATGGGGGTTCTGGAGTGTCCACTTGATCTCCCATTTCTACCAGTAGGTATTGGAGGGTTCCCTACACCCATGTTTAGGATTCCAATCAACCAATCCTAGGATTACTTCTCCTCAGGGGGAGATAGTGAAGCCAGGAGTAGCTCATCAGAAGTTCCTTTTCCAATCCCATTAAGTGAAGAAGGATGTAATGGGGAAGAATGTCAAAGGTGCAAGGATGTGAGAGTTTATCACAGACGATGGAGACGGGTCGATTTTGGACATCAGTAGTGCAGGCCAGTCCTAGTCACCTCTGCAGATCCAGATCCCAGTACCACAGTAGCCCCAGTTCCTTCTACATATTCATATCCAGGTACTACAGTAGCCCCAGTTCCTTCTATAGATCCAGGTCTAGGTACCACAGATACTACAAATGAGAGACATCCAACCATAGAGCCTTCACCTTCATTCAGTGACCTTGATCTCCCTATAGCAATTCGTAAAGGAAAATGCCGTTGCACCACATCTCACTACATTTCTCAGTTCCTATCCTATGATCATTTGTCTCCCTCCTACAAGTCTTTTCTCGCATCCATTGCTGATATTCCCATTCCCATAACAATAYAGGAAGCATAGGAAGTACCAGAATGGAAAGATGCGATAAAAGTAGAAATGGATGCCCTCATCAGAAACAATACCTAGGAGATAGTTGATCAACCTAAAGGAAAGAACCAGTTGGATGTAGATGGATATTCACTGTAAAACATAATGTTGATAGTTCTGTTGAAAGGTATAAGGCCCGATTAGTTGCAAAAGGATTTACTCAGACATAAGGTATTGAGTACTTAGAAACTTTTGCACCAGTAGCAAAGATGACCACTATTAGAGGATGTTAAAAATGCCTTTCTCAATGGAGACTTGCAGGAAGAAGTTTACATGCAGCTGCCTCCAGGATTTTTGGTACGGAGACAGGAAAGGTTTGTCGGTTGAACAAAGCTCTATATGGACTAAAACAGTCCCCCAGAGCATGGTTTGACAGATTCAGACGAGCCCTTGATAGGTTCGGATACGTGCAGGCTCAGTTAGACCACACCTTGTTTATTAAGAGTGTGGGTTCCTCCGTAACCTTGCTTACCGTGTATGTGAACGACATTGTAGTAACCGGGAGTGATACTAGTGAGGTTGAGTCTCTTAAGCAATTCCTTCATCAAGAGTTTGAGGTAAAAGATTTGGGGGGAACTACGATACTTCTTGGGCATTGAGGTAGCTAGATCCAAGCATGGGATTTTTGTCTCTCAACGAATGTATGTTCTTGATCTACTAGAAGAAACAAGAAAGTTGGGAGTTAAGCCTGCAGACGCACCTATTGAACAGAACCACAGGATTAGTGTAGAGGGTGGAGAGCCTATTGAAGATAAAACTATGTTTCAACGGTTAGTTGGAAAGCTTCTCTATCTTTGCCTCACACGACCTGACATTAGTTATGTAGTCAGTGTAGTTAGTCAGTATATGCACTCTCCTAGAACTACTCACCTTCTTGTGGTTGAAAGGATATTAGCATATTTGAAGAGGTCCCCAGGCAGAGGCATTTTGTTCAAGAAAAATGACCACATGAAGATAGAAGTTTGCACAGATGCTAATTGGGCTGGGTGTGTTGATGACCAAGGATCTACCTCTGCATATTGTGCCTTTGTAGGAAGTAATCTGGTCTCCTGGAAGAGTAAGAAACAAAGTGTTGTTTCTCGTTCAAGTGTTGAAGCTGAATATAGGTCCATGGCAAATGGTGTGGCTGAGATTCTATGGTTGAGATCATTAAATGAGGAATTGGGTATTGTTTATGAGAAACCCCTAATGTTGTACTGTGATAATTAGGCTGCCATCAATATAACCCATAATCCAGTACAGTACGACAGAACTAAGCATATTGAAGTGGACCTGCATTTTATCAGAGAAAGGGTTACATCTCAAGAAGTATGCCCTCCCTACATCACCTCTAGCATGTAGCTTGCAGACCTACTCACCAAGGTTGTTTCAAGAAAGAGGTTAGAAGAAGATCTATGCAAGTTGGAAATGACAAATATCTACTACCCAACTTGAGGGGGAGTGTAGGAAACTGTGGACCCCACATTAAGTGTATTCGTGTGACACCCAGAGATGTACTTAGATTTAAATTGATTAGGATCAGTTTTCCTAGTAGGATTAGTTTTATTCTATCTTATCTAGGATTTGTTTTATTTTAATCTTATCTTTTATTGCCATGTAAGCATTAAAGTTTTTTTATAATTAGGAAACTATGTATATAAATTAAGGAGTGGGGCGGCTGTTTTAAACACACCAACCACTCTCTTCTTTCTAATACCTCTCCACGAGTTATCCCTCTTCATCTCTCTCCTTTTTCTTCTCATCTTCTCTCTTCCTTTCTTTATTTTCTGTTCAAAACCTAAGAGATATTTGTAGTCTTGTACGACTACTTGAAGAAAGAAGAGAAAACAGAGAAAGAAGAAGAAGAAAAACAGATAAGACAATAGGGCGACACACTCTCTCCAGCCCATAAAATTGATATTTATATTAGGGTTACAATAGTACATGAGATGACCATCTTACCCCCCATTAAGGTCCATGCCCATAAACCACTTAATAACATTACAGCATAACAAAACAAGGTATGACATAACATAAATGGGCCAAAGCCCATACTGTTAAGTCCCACAACAGCTTCTTCAGTGCAAATTATGCTATTTAAAATCCTATTTGCAAGAACTAATGTTTAAAGTATTTGAAAGGTCATTGTTTTTGTTTATTTTAAAAGTTGTATACCATTACTGATTTACAAATAACAAAAAAGGAAATTCAGTAATTTATCCTTTATAGACCATAACAGGAGTGTAAAACATGAAAGAATCCACAAAAAAAAATATGAAATTTTAAAAAGGCACAAGGCACACCAGGCATGCACCTTTTAAAAGGGACTATGCCTAGGTTCAAGCAAGGCATATAGCCTAAAATGCGCCCCACCTGTGTGCCTAGGTGCAGCTTTTAAAAAACAGGATGGACCTATGATCTTCAAACTAGAATGGAAAAGATATTAAGCCCCATTTATAGAAGCAAAAGAGACCCCTTCCAACTGGACATCATTCCCATCGATGATTTTTTTTATCAGACATGAGAGATAAACTACAGGCTAGAGAAACTCTTGCAAAGGAAAATGATGGATTGAAAAATGAAAATATCAGAAGCACAACAGTGAAACAAGACAACTTCACAACAGTGAAACCAGGGAAAGAAGTACTGAAGTGAACTGCAACATAATACAAGGCATCAGCATACCATCCATTCCAATCCTCTGTCCATAGCACTGGTTTCCTATAAGAATTTGGCTTGAAACCATCACAATAGAATCCATTACATGCATCTATCTGCAAAAAGAAATAAATGTGGCAGAAGAATGAGTATCCAAAACTTTAGCTAATAAAGAAATCAACCAGCAAAATAAACCACATCTTCTTTTTCTTTTTCTCTTATTTTTTAGTTTTCTTATTAGCTAAGTTTCTACTTAATTAAACTATTTCTAAATCTTCCGTTACAACAAAAAACAATCACCAAAGGAAAGATAAAAGGGAATTACAATATTTTCAGGAGCATCAGTTTGCTTGCACATAACCCAAGGAACGCCAGCACCAAGCCCAATAGCCATGCTTGCAGCCCATTTAACATAATCTTTTCCTCTCTGGCCATATGAACTTTCAATATTTCCATATTCATTCTCAATCTGTTGAATTTGTTTCCAGTTAGTAAAAAATAATAAAATATTACTTCACAAGACACAGGGACCACTATGAAAATGTATAAATCATAACCCCTTTTATCCACAATTAATAATCCAACTTTAATTGACAGAAAATTAAGAAGTATTGAAGTACTGAAAAAGATGTAATTTAATCATGAGAACATGTATCAGACACAAACCTCAACAAAAAAGAAACAATCATAGAAGTCCAAAAATATCAACATTTCCAAAAAGTTATTTTAATAAATCCTGAGAAAGTTTCTAACTTAATTCATGCATATGTGCAACAAAGGAAAATGTATTCAGTGTTTACTGAATAACATGAAAAATTCAAGATTGCATAAAATTGACATATCAATACAGCACAGAAAAAGAATTTTGTGATACATTAGTGTCGAGGGCTTAAAGTTGCTGGATTGAGAACGGTTATCAAGCTACTCCTAATCACAGATTAAAATTTTGTCCCTTTCTAGGTCATTCATCTAAGCCCACTCATACAGGTGGGATGGAATAGTTTAGGGCCCATTTGAGAGGGCTGAAGCTTTGTTTGAGCTGCTTTGGAGAAGCCACTAAAAGAAGCTTTAGAGGGAAGCCCTATTTCTGGATGAAAGACAGCTATTTCGGGCTTTCTGAGGTTTTTGCCAAACATAACTTACGGACTGTCTGGGCGGGGCCCACCTCATAAAGCTAGAAGCCACTACCTAAAATCCCTCCCAAAGAGGCATTTAATTAAGAAAATAGCCCTGCAATAGAGCCCACTTAAATAATGAGTATCAGTCCCTAAATTGGTTCGAGAAAGATGTGCCCCAATCACAATTTATTAAATCTATAATTAATAGACATGGGCCTAAAGTAAAGCACATTTAAGTGGGCAAAAGGCCCTAAAGAGGGTGGGTCCATGATAGTTAAGAGAGGTCTATCTAGACATTTAAAAGTCCAGCCTCATCTGTTTTTTTTTTTTTTTCGATAACTGAGGAAGAGCATTTGTATTAATATTCAAATAATAAGGGAGGGTGAGCTTCACTCCAAGCTGTACAAGGATCTGTATACAGTATGACTAAATACAAAAAGTCAACTACTGTAATTTGAATTAAAAACGAGGTGCACCTAGTTGTCCTTTGCTTGACTAAAAGAAATACCCCTAGATTCCTCCAAAATAGAAGCTCACCGATAGAAGGTTCTTTGAGCTTTTGCCTTGATGCCCTCCACAGAGCTAGTCTGCCCCTCAGAAATAATCTTATCTCTCTCCCTCCACACAGTCCAGCAAATGGCAAAATGGAGGAATCATCCATGTTGAGTGGGCCGACCTGTGTTTAGTTTATTTCCTTTTAAATTAAGATGTTGTTGGGCCTTGGGCCCATTAGTTTTTATTTTTTAAAGAGCTGTAATTACTTAGGTTGAGTTGMYRYCCTACTAAGGGCATCTTTGTAATATCTCATACTTAAGTTAATTATAAATAGAATGAGGGGCTGGCGGCTAGGGTTAAGTTAATCCAYCCTAGTCGACCTTCTTCTCTTTTCTTCCCTTTCCTCTGTCTCTTGCTGAAATCCCCAACTTTCTACTCTTCCTTCATAAGAAGCTTGGCCGAAATCAGCACATAAGGTTTTCTATTATCCACAAGATATTTATCATGCTTTAAACATAAAGCATGATAACTAAACCTCACAACACACCCTCAAGTTGAGCATAGATATCTATCATGCTCAGCTTGCCCAACAGTTCATGTAATCTTGTCTTTGGCAATCCTTCGGTGAGAACATTAGCTAGCTATTTTCCAAAAGGCAACTAGGGAATACATAAGTCTCTTGAAATAATCCTTTCCCAAACAAAATGTCTATCAATCTCAATGTGTTCGGTCCTTTCATGCAAAATAGGATTGTTTGTATATTGACACCAACTTGATGGTCACAATAAAGCTTCAAGAGACCATCAATCTAAATTTCCAACTAGTTGAACAAAATTAGAACCCATAGCGTTGCCTCCTAGTTGAACAAAATGTCTATCAATCTCAATGTAATGACATGCGTCACATCCTGAGGAAACCTAAAGATCGTGCTCTAACAACCTTGTGGTCCCAAGTGACACGTGTCCCAAAAGGAGAAACCAATGTTCAAAGAACTGGATCGGGCATAGAACTGGAGAAGGGAGAGGTTCACAGATCATAGGTTCAATCGGGGTCGAACCGAAGGTCAAACCATGACAATGTGGCATATATGTATATGTTGACACAACATGTTTAGTACCGAAGGGTACTTTTGTAATTTCTTCATACTTTATGTTGTACGACCAGCCTAGTATAAATAATAACATACTGCACACGCCTGCAGTGTTCTTTTGGGCTCTCAATCCTCTTGCCTCTCCTCTCTTTCTCTCCTCTCTTTTCTCTTCTCTTTTCTTGCTCAACATGGTATCAGAGCAAGTCGTTCAGGCCTGAAGGGTGATGTCAAGCTAATCTGATTTGTTCATCCTCCAATGTCAAACAGTCAGTCTCTTCATCTCCCAGCCRTATCCATCTGCTGTTCGACCTTAAGCAAGAAGATGCCTGCCTGACTTTTCATCTTCCAGCGCAGAAAGGAGTTCTGGTTATAGAGAGTTTTCTATCTGATGTTCAAAGAAGTCTGCCAACATTGACTGTTCGGCTGCAGCGAAGCTATCATCTGATGTTCGTAGAGAAAGTTCTGGTTTATAGAGAGGATATCATCTGATGTTCAAGAAGGTATTATCTACTGTTCGGGTGCCCTAGTATTCAACTGAAGTTTTTTTTTGTGTTTCTTTGCACCCATTGATGGACTGTTGATGCCCTAATATTCGACTGTGGTGTTCCTTTTGTGTTACTGCTGTTCGGCTACCCTATTGATGGACTGAAGTAGCTCTTTCTTTTTACTTTGGTCTCATTGGCTGTTCGGCTGCCCGGAAGTTGGCACTGTAACAGGTCTGCCGATTAGGTGTGTGGTGAACTTCACCTTGTATCTTCCATTCTGTTGAGAGGTCATATGATCTCTGTAAAACTGTAGGTCATACAGACCCGTTTATGTACTGCAACTGCAGTGTTTGTCTTTTGGTAGGTCATACAGACCTGTTTACATGCTGCAACAGCAGTGTTTATTCTTGGATCCCTGTGAAACCGTAGGACATAAGGACCTGTTTGTGTGCTGCAGTAGCAGTCTTTTTAGTGGGGTGTGACCAAACCAGTCAGGGCCCCGGGTCACAGTTCAACCAGTGCGACCGGATGGTCAGTCCAGTTTTCTAAGCACTGGGAGAAACAAACAAGATCTGTCTCCAAGCATCATTCAAATTAAATCATATTCTAGAATTCTGGTTTCATACTCCCTTACTTCTATAAATAGGGAAACCACTCTCTGTAAAGGGGATCTGATTTTCATTCCACTCAGAGTTAAGTTCTGCCCCCTAGTGGCATCTTCCTTACCGCTTCCAATACTCTAAGTCCATCCTTATCCCTATTGGCTTACACTTCCCCTCTATTTTATTTGTTTGAAAAAGGCTTGGGCAGAACAAAGTAGTGATATCTTGTGTGGAGGGCCCCACCTACAACTAAAGAGAGAAAATGTACACCCAAACACACGTCACAAAAGAATGGGATATAAGTAAGTGAGAAGTGGTTTCACCATTTGCCTTACAATAGACACACATACGAGGAAAAAGGCATTTATTTGCCCTACTTATTTGAAGTACATCACACAAGTGTTTATCTTTCCAAGGAAAGCTTCCCAACAAGAAGGCTTGTACTTTTGGAGGGATAAGCTTGCTCCAAATTTCTTCGCAAGAACCCCCCCCCCCCCCAAGCTACAGCACTTGATTGTTACATGTTTTATACCTTGTTTCTAAATATTGAATATTATACTTTGTGTTTGTAAGAATTATATGCTTCTAATAACAATCCATGGTTATCTACTTTCTTGAGTGTATCCATGAGTTTTTGTGCATTATCTTAAGATTGAATTTATTGATCTCAATTTGGTACCAACTCTTTAGTCCCCTAGTAATCCATGCAATTCATGTTTAAACTGAACTTCAAAAATATTTTCCAAACCTGCAATAATATGATGGGACCACCTTGCCAAGAAAAGAGCATCTCATCCAGCATTAGATCTACAATCATTTTGACAAATCTATGCATCTCCTCCTGGAAAATGCAACGATGTAATCAATATCAACAAAAGTTACTGGCTAACAAGAGCTATCCATGATCTTAGTCCTCACTCATCATAACAGCAAAATATAATGCAATGACTCATTTAACCTTGAACTCATTTCCACAAAACAAGTATATTTTTGAAAGAAGTACTGAACCAAAATAAAATGCTGCCTTGTATTAGGAAGAGAGAAACAGAAAGAAAGGGAACAGAAAATTATAAACAAACCTATTGGATAATATACAACAAACAATTAGTAACAGAAAGGATAGTTCTAAAATCCTCACAGTACGTGCAATGTAAGATGTCCTTGACAATCAAATATGACCATAAGTATTCTATACCTTGAATGGTGCATTGTTGGTCCGGAATTCTATACCAGGGACATCACGTAGCCAGACTGGAAAACCCCTGCAAGATTATCAACAAAAATAAGATTAGAGATCTCACAAGTGGCACTTACTGGTGTATTGGTCACATCATAAGGAAAATAAATATAAATAAGATCTAAGTAACAGCCCCATTAAAATATATTGTTTTGGGATATTTCAGAAATGGCACAAACTTCAAGTTCTGTAAGACCTCCCAGCTTAACCTTGTCTCCTACCTCAATATGCTCCCAAGGTTCTGTTTGTTTGCAGTGCAAATCTAAACCTGATGCAAATTTTGCACCCAGTTAACTTTTGCATCTATTTATTTTGTGATTATCATTTGCACTCCTATCAGATGCAAAATTTGTACTTTTTGTCTCATCTGCACTAATTTTCAGTGCATTGTAACACCTTCCTCCTACCTTAATTTTCTCTCATATAAAGTTTGGGACAGCATTATCTTACTTCCTACCTCACTTCCAAACAAAAAAAAAAAATACTACTCCTACCACCATTATCTTTCATATAAGGTGGAGAACACATCATTTTACTTCTCACAAACAAAAAAGAAAAGTCAAATCTGAAGCAAAAGTAAACTAGATTCTACAATGAGTGGACTGCAAACAAATTGAGTAAACTGCCATTAAAGAGAAGATAGAGTATAAAGTTTTTTTTTCATCCTTTACCATTCAATACCATGAGAAACTTTAAATAGAAACAATTGTCTTATGAAAGGAACTATATTATAAAACAAAGTAAGAGAGGAAGGCAGTACCCAAAGTTCCATTCAGCACACACGTAAGGCCCTATACGGAGATGGAGGTAAAGTCCACTTGATCCAACCAGTTTCACAAACTTGACAATATCGTATCTCCCTTCAAAATTATACTGAAGAGAAATTATAACAAATAAAAAGAAATTTTCAGTAGGAAAAAAAAAAGTATATTCTAAGTTTTGTGCACAACTTCCATGAGAGAACACCAAGATGAACGACTAACCACACCTGTCCTCTTATTGGCTCATGCCCATTCCAAAATACATAACTTTGGATCATATCTGCTCCACCTTCTTTACTCTTGGCAATTAGATCAGGCCACATCTGCATATGTAAAATAAATTGACTAAAAATGACTTGACTCATAGTATGTATTCGAGCAAAACACACACATTTGTTAATGTGCTTACGCACACACTAGCACAAGACCTTGAAAATGGTCTATTGAGGGATGAAAATACTCCAGTGGGGTAAAAGGAAGAAATAAAACCCCACAATAGTCCAATTTATATCATTAAGCTTAAAAGTGAAATTGAAAATGAAGAAAAGCACAAATAAGTGGATATTAGATCCCAAGGGCTGAATGTATTTCATGAATAAATCAACATAAAAAATCTCTCCTGCAGTGAATTGCAAGTACTTAAAGTAGTTAATGTGGTCTCACAAAAGTCAACACGTATACTTAGAATGCATTCATTAGATAAAATCAAAACTATCAATAATAACTGCCTGGTCAATCATGCCATATTTAAAGAGTATCAATTTTAATATACATCAGTCAGACTCTGGATCACTCAGCAACTGAAATGCAGTGAAGTACAAAAGTAGCCGAAATAGATACCAAGAAAAATCACCTTGCAAGAATCTCGATTACGCGATACTATTTGCACCAAAACTACGCTTAATCAGCGGAAATTTCGAACTTAAAACAGAAAATTTAATCATAACAATGAGAAAACAAAAGATTATCATTACTATCATGACTAAAATCAATCCAAAAACCACCAAATTCTCAAAAAACTAAGTCAAAAGTTAAATTGATGAAAAGCCAGAAATATTGTCTAATCAAGGTAAACCAATGACCTATACAAAACTAAAACTTGATTAAAATCATTAAACTGAAATGATTCGAATCAAATTCATCCAAGCGTAGCAAATTGGAACCTGAATTACAATTCAGGAAAATGATTAGGTAAGTGGGGTACCTCAGGCGTGGCACGAGGGTAGTGGATTCCAGCAGAAATGAGCATACGTCTCTTCCCATCGATGATAAGAGCTCTGTGATCATAGCTTACGTTGAATGGCTTAAAGAACTCTGCTGAAACCGCAAAGTAAGCAACTGAAGCAATAACCAGACACGCAAGCAAAGCTCGAGAACCCAGCATTGTTTCCCGAACGCATAGAAAAGTTAGGGGGAGACTGGAGAGAGGTGGAAGAACTGGTCGGTCTGCTTGCTGGAAATTTGCCAACAAACGACTACGCTTGAGAGTCGCGAGAAGCCGAGAAGTAAGCAATTACCAAACCAAATAAAGTGCCTTGGGTGTCCCAATCGACGGTTCTCGGGTTCTGTCTATGTTTGTTGTTTTTTGGCTTAACTTCTCCTCCACGTTAAAGGATCAATCTCGTGGTTTATTATATATATATATATATATTACTAAAAAGAAAGAAACAGAAAAATTTGTTTGTTGAAGAGGACGAAATCTGCTACCCCGTTGGCGTAGCCTTGGGCTAAGAAGCTCTTCGATAAGAGAATTGCGATACTGATAATCGGATTTGGTCCTCCCAAGACCGTCCGCACACCATCTCACGTTCTCTTACAGCCGTGCATTGGGAATATCTCTACATAAATGCTCACCTTAAAGGCTGTGAGGACTGTGTGAGCACAGTAATGTGAGACCAAATCCAAACTAGGGACATAGATAGTTGGCACATGGGAGTCCGGATCTATTCATCAAAGAGTGGAGACTAGATTTTCTTCTCACACAAGGTGCCTCACACCAACCTCACGCGCACATCCTACCATGCATTGGGAACATTCTAGGGATGAGAGATCCATCATATGGGTGGTCGAACCCTGTAGGAAGATTTGGGCGAAATTTTAAAAATTTCTCTCTCTCCCATCTGGGAATCACACCCTGTTTTAAAAAATTGCATTTTTCAAAGATCAATTTTGAACCGAACCAGATCTGAACCAAAATAGTAGGAGAGGGATATACCTGATACGAATAAATAATATCTTCCAATGGAGGTGTTCACACCCAAAGAAGGTTCCAAAAACTGCTCCCACTGAAAATGACACAGTGCAGAGTGGAGCAGAATCAGCAGTGTTCTTCCAAAGAACCAAATCCTTCACCAAGAATTCATGGAGAGTAGGTGAGCACGACTCCCAATCAGTTTTTCACCAAAAACTGATATCAAGAACGCTTCCTGATAGCTCCTACAACAATGGAGGTCGAACTGGCTATGGACACAACTAGAGGAGAACGCAGGGAGAAGATGGCACAGTCACACTGGTGCAGTCTTCTCTTTGTGTAAACTGAGATCTGATCTCTGGAATTTTTGTGGGAAGGGGTGAATGGTTCGCCCCCTCCTCCTTTTATAGCCTTAAAAAGAGCTCCTAATCTCATTAGGAATTTCTTAATCCAAATTTGTATTTGGATAAGGAGTTCTCTTTAAGAGATAAGGATAAGATAAGTACATTATCTTATCTGCAGATTAGATCAGCTCTCTCCTAATCTCATTAGGAGGTTTCTAGATCCAAATCTGTATCCAGATCTAGACTCTCTGAGTGGATAGGGTAAGATCCTATCCTATCTGCTGATCCAATCCCAGATCCGCCCCTCTATTTAATTAATCCAACTAAACCAGTTCGAAATGGGCTTTACGCCCAATAAGTCTGTGTGATTATTAACCTTCCAAATTGCTGCCCAGTTGGGCTTTCTTGTATGCCGTGGGACCCAAACATTGATCTACATATCAGCCACATGGCTTCAGCCCAACTTCTGTTACAAGGCCCGGCCGAATTCACTGTAGGAAACAGTGAACCCCCTAAAGCCCATCACATTGACTCCTAATGGGCCCAACACTTACATTAAGTGGTCCCTTAGCCAAGCCACCTTATAAAAACCCAGGGACTGTGGGCAAATGAAAGATTAGCCCATCAGGCATTACCCTCAATGATCTTACACTTAACCTCTCAGCCCATAATGATCAAACACTTTCCGACAAAAAAGAACTCTTCCTCGACTGCAAAGAACAGTATTGCACTCTCTACTCACATGGATCCCGGGAATAAAAACCTTTTGCAAACATTTTGAAACCATAATATATATATATATGAATATCTGTATATAAATATATTTTGCAAAACAAATTTCAACGATTGAAATTGGCTGCCGGCAGTCTTGGTTTCCATCAGAGAGAGTGCATCCCCCGATCATTACCTTTGTCCGACAAAAGGGCTAATCCTGTCACTATGATCACCCACTCAGATGAGTTCTCGGACTGTCCCAACATACCCAGGTTTTGACCCCTGCTAAGGATGTCACTGATTGGCATATCAAAGACAACCCAATCTGACACCTAGTGTAGTATCATAATCGAGTCTAGGGATTAGGTGTAACTTTCCAGTTTTGCCCACTAATCACCAAGGTCCAGGGCAATACKKGAAATCKGGTCYGGTTCAGGGTTTCAAGYAAACCTACACTGCATGTACCTCGGGTCTCACCCTAGTAGTTGAGACAGGCCACCCCAACACTTGGCGGCACATCAGTGTCAGCCTTAGCATGATAAATCTCTCCAGACTTATCCAACGGCTATGAACATTCTAAACTAACACGAGTCTCATAAGTGTCTAGTTTAAGGGTATTACACAAAAACAAACCACTATAACATGAATCAAATATGTACTTTATTCATTTACAATAAATGTCATAATGTACATCAACCTCACGCGCATATCCTACCATGCATTGGGAACATCTCCCGTACTTATAAGTTATTATTCACGGGAGATGTTCCCAATGCATGGTGGATGTGCCTATGAGGCGCCTATGTGTAAGGAGTAGATCCCGTTCCCAAAGAGTGCGCCTCACACTGATCTCATAGTATGTCCAGGCTGCACATTAGGAACATCTTTTGTACTTATATTTATTATTCATGGGGTGGTTGTGAGGTTGCTACAAGGCATGCTCTGTAAGTAGCAAATCCCAATTCATGGGCCAAGTAGCTTGACAGGCCAGGCTAAGYCGGGCTTGGAATGTTTGGAGAGATCTTTGGTTGGATTATTTCCCAAACTTTAAAGCTGTTGGGCCTGATCCAGGTGGCAATTACCCAATTTGGGTAAGTGACATGATTGACGTTGACAGAAGAACCCGAAATCAAGAGTTGATCAGAGGCAGTTTTAGTGAGATTATGGCAAATCAAATTCTAAAGTTAAATTTGGTTGAGGGTTCGTGGGAAGATAGATTAGTGTGGAAAGGTTCAGCTTTAGGTATGTTTTAAGTTAGGTATACTTACTTTGAGGCAAAACATGTGACGGATGAGGGCATGGTAAGCATTTCTGCTTCTTCTAGAGACCAAAGTTTTCAAATTAAGGTATGGAAATCAATCTAGAATCTTAAAATAGACCCAAAAATTTCTCATTTCCTTTGGAAGTATTGTTTGAATGCAATTGCAATAAAAGAAAACTTGGTGAAAAAACAAATTTCTGATGATGCTACTTGTCCAAATAAGATTTGGATTATGACTTTATTTCTAATTAAATAAGCATTATCTTCCAAAGAGAATGGGTGCTCTATATCTAAATCTATAACCATTTTCCATCCAAATCACATGACAACTTAAGTTCTCATGAAACCATTTAACTAATCACATTAATAATGGGCCTTACGTACATTTTCTTTAATGGTTTTCAAACTTAGGCAATGCATGGAGAGCTAGGCCTAATCATTGTATGGTGTGGGACCCACAAAGTTCTCACATAAGTCCACAAGGGTTCAGCCACACCTTTAGAAGAGCTTAGGTCGAATTTGTTGTCTACCCAACCAACTTGGCTCAATTTCGGCCCAAAGTTTAAATATAAATGATCATTCAGTTCAGCCACCCTATGAAGACCTAAGGATGATTGACTTACTTAAAATGAAGTCCATCAGATAATCAGCCTTATAATAGTCTCTTACAAATAGCTTCTCAATCTATAAATATCAAAATACTACTTATAGGGAAAGACTTCTCCCCAGACTACAAAATCCACAATAACACTCTCTACTCAGATGCATCCTAGGACTAAAATCTTTTGTAACATTTTTCATAAAATAGTAATATAACATATAACATTTGCAAATCAGATTTCAAATATAGTTGAATTCCATTGATGGTAATTTAGGTTTCCATCAGAAGGAATGTGAACCTTAATATTCACTCTATTTGATAAAGGGAATGAACTTATCACTATGATCAGCGATTCAAGTAATTTCCTAAACTGTCCCAACATGCCCATATATTTGACCTTTGAGGTATCTCACTAATTGGCATATCAAAATTAGTTTAGTCCAAAATCTAGTATAGTATAATAATCAAGTTTGGTCTAAGTGCAACTTTCCAGTTTTGCCCATCTATTTCCAAGGTCTAGGGTATAACTACATATTGGTACGAGTTCAATGCTTCTTCCAAACACCTATTGATTGTGATTACGGTCTAATTCTAGTAGTTGGGACAAGTTGCTTTACCAATTTTGTACAACACAAGTGCCAATCTTGTTAGAATAAACTCTCCAAATCTATTCAATGGTTGAGAACATTCTAAATTAACACAAGTTTCATAACTCTCTAGTTTAAGGAGAAACTTATATAAATATAACAATTTAACATAAAACAATAATGCACTTTTGCCATTCATTCATAAATGTTTATGTACATTAATCTTATTGGAACTAAGGGCATACACTATCTAATAGCTCTCACTTGCACTTAGGTCCAACTGGGTATAAACCTTAGTCTATATTATCCATGTGTCCCTCAAACACTCTTTCTATCAGTGCTTAGTTAATGGGTTTGCAACATTTTGTGCTGGTGCTACCTTTTGAATATAGATATCTCCTCTATCAACAATCTCCCAAAGAATGTTTATATTTCCTCTTGATATGCTTTCACTTCGAGTGGGCTCGACTCTTTGGCTGAAGCAGTGGTTCTACTCTTGTCACACAATAGTGGAATGGGCGATGTGCTAGATGGTATGACTCACAAATCTTGTATTAATTTCTTTATCCAAACTGCTTCCTTAACAGCCTCACTTGTAACAGTGTACTATGCTTTGGTCATGGAATTTGTTGTGGACCCTTGTTTACTACTTCCCTAACTGGCAACAGAGGAGCCCAATATAAAGATGTATCTCAATGTAGGCTTTCCATTATTTGGGACAAATTGGAAATCAGAATTTGCGTAACCGATCATTTATAATGAACTACTATTGAAGATAAATCAATTGTCTTTAGTTCTTTTTAGGTATTTTAGTATATTATTCACACCTAACAACTTGAACAACGTAAGGTTAAGCGCATAATATAGCATTCATGATGCTCACTACAATTGAGACAT